CGTTTTATGAATTTTGTGAACTTACCTTTCTGGCTACCTATGGTATCTTATCTGCTGTTATCACTCCATGACACCCACCAAATGTCTCCTTTCTGTCCTCTATCTTTCTTCTTGGAATCAGCGTTCTACCGCTGCTGTGACGCGCGTTGTGAATTAGGTGACTCTTACCTTCTAAGGCTAATTGTGGTTTCTTATCAGCTGTTATCATTCCATGACACCCACCAAAAATGTCCCCACTCTGCCCTTTATCTTTCTTCTTGGAACCGACGTTCTACCGCTGCTGTGGCCCGCGCTATGGATTTGGTGACCCTTACCTTCTAAGGCTCTTTATGGTATCTTATAACGCTCATCACTTCCTTTCCGCCCTAATACAACAAAGAAGGTGGTCATGCACCGAGAACCCCTAGAATACAACTAAATAATCTGAGCTCACTCGACATCTATCTTTGAAGGAAGTGATGAATTACGGCTCAAACACACATACAGCCAGACACACACACACACACACACCAACAGACACCTTAGCGGATTACATATAGTAGGATTCTTTAGGGGCATATACATTCAACTCAACCCATTTCGCAAGGTGAAACGCGTAAAAATCACGAGTGATGCAATTTTCGTGGTGCAAAAGCTCGACGCACTTCACTACACTAAAATGTGCGCTACCGTAACCCCAAATTCGGACACCGAGTTTTTAAAATTTCTTTTTCCTTCCAAGAGTTTTTCCTCTGCGTTTTTGTTGTTTTTTTTTGTATTCTTTTTTTGCACTGGATGATATCAACTACTGCGAGATGTGATAGAGAGATTTGTGAGCTAGGGGTTGCACAGAGACCGCAGGGAGGTGTGACTGTGAGCGATTTTGTTTATGTTGTTCTGGAGGACGCTTCTTGCTGTTTTCTTCTTTGGGGGATTACTTATCAGCTACTGTTTCATAATTGAAAGCAACTATCCATGACACTTTTATCGCGGGAGCGGTCTTTAAGCGCGTTGAAGCGTTTCGTCGCAGTATCACACTTTATCAGAGTCCATTCCTCTATACAACACCTCCCCCAGTAGAAAGACAAGGAAAGATGTGAACAACAATATTTGTCTTTCTACTACAAGGGAACAAAGCATTCGAAATTTGAATCTACACATCAATGCCATATCGTTTCACAGGTCTTCGTATTCTAGTCGATCGTCGCAGTGATGGTTTGGAGAGCACGGTAGAGCGGTGTTGACGTCCAAGTCACTAGCAGTCTCGTCGTTGCTTCTTAGCCTATTGTCATCCAATTCTAACATGTCGAGCAGGGTTTTCAACGATTTGTCTACACGATTCCAGCTTGTCCTTGTGTTGCTGTGTCGTAATTGGTTTGCGTGTTTCCGCATCAGTCTTCCTTCCACGGGGACCTCATAGTTGACCTTCCCAAGGCGTTTTGCGACAACTCCTTGCTTCCATGTGGAGTGTGGGGCTTTCCACATCTGCGCGTACACGTCGTCTCCCTTATGGAATTCCTTCGAAATAGAACCGTTTCTCCTGTCGTATTGCTGCTTCATCTTCCTTCCATTTTCTTCGGCGTACAACCTTGTCGATGATTCAGTTCTGTCCTCAAGACATCTGTGTCGGTGTGCTTGCAGCATAACATTGAACGTATCCTCTGACAGTTTCTCTTGAGTTTTCTGATTCCTCTCTTCAACGTTTTCTTCAACTCTTCTTTACGTCTGGGGTTGCAGTTGGCCTTCACTTCAGCCATCATTTCTATGTGGTACATCAAATTCTCATTTGCTCGAATCCATTCGAGACCCAAGAGTGAGCTATGCGGCGTCACATAGGCGTCTCCTTCAGTAGTGACACCTTTCATGGTAATCTTGCATTTAAGCTTTCCATATATCTTCATGGTATCTCCACTTGCGTTTTTCACGACTATATTGGTCTTTTCCAATGCTGGGGAGCCCATCTTCTTCCAAATCTTCTCGTTCAGTAACGTGATGTCTGATCCAGTATCGAGAAGGAATTTGACAGAGTAGTTGTTCACTACAGCGTCGATGTACACACGGGAAGAGTTTGCTTGAACTGCTGCATTTGCAATCTTGACGATTCGTACTTGTTTTCTCGGACCTCTGTTGTTTCTGTTCCTCGAGAACTTCTCTTTAGTATGCTGAGTTTTCTGCGTCGCCTCTGTGCGACCCGCAGTCTTCTTTTGTCGTAAAGTGTCACAAAACTTTTCCTTGTGACCGACCTTCCTGCACTTCTTGCAGAACCAAGGTTTTCGCTTGGCATCCACTAGCACGATGGTTGCCTTCACAGTTCCAACATTCTATTTCCTTCCGCTTCTGTACGGACGTGGCTTCCACTAGTTTCATAGTTCCGGCGACGACTTCACTGTCTCTCTTGAGGCTTAAGAAGTTTTCGCACTCCTGATGCAATTGTTGCAGTGAGACCGTTTTGCCTGCTTTGTAGTCTCTATCCAGTATTGTGATCAGCCTCTGCCTGATCTCTGCCTCCTGCTGTGACTTCAGTCCGAAAATCCACAGCAAGCATTTGATCCCGTCTGAGTCTAGCTCGTGAATCTTTGCTCTCTCGCAAAATTCATTCACTCGACCGGTATACGTGAGGAAGTCTTCTGAAGGGCTCTTCTCTAGCTTGAGACATTGATATCTCGTGGTAAACAATGACGACTTGAAATCAAACAGCTGCTTGAGTATGTCCACCGTCTCGGTGAACCCAATTTCTGTCACATCTCTTGGCAGCACGTGCCTTTGGTACTTCTCGAAAGATAGAGGATCCAATTTTTCGCAGAGCAGTCTGACCTTGGTGCTTTCAGAAGAGCTGCTTTGCATCTTCGAAGAAACACATCCTTGTATCTTGAAAACCATTTTGAGAAGTTCATATCGGCATCCGGGTCGAAAACGAACTTTTCAATGCGGTTGCTCAACGCTGCCATCAAGTTCGGGAGTGCCATGTGCTCCGTCGCATTGCAATCTCCCTGTCCGCGTTCTGGAATGCGATCTAGCAGTTTTGCGATGACATTCTTCTGTTCGTCCATCATTTCTCTGAACATAGCTATGATGGTGGTCGTATCCATTTTTCAAGTGTCGATGTGTCACTTCTGTCGAATACTTCGCTTGAGGGGCACGCTACTGTTATCCGAACGCTGACGACGTTTCACGTTCCAACTGTGCAGATATCAAAGAAAACCGATCTTTAACAGCAAAACAAAAGACTTATCTGCTCGGCCTTGTCCGGTTCTTGCTGAAGTAATAGATCGGATAGAATAGATACAAGCGAGCAGAAATATACGGCTAGTATCCTGCACAGTCGAATAAAAGGGATACTGCACGAAGAGTCCTTGATTCTTCTTCGTAGCACTATAGACCACTGGTTCTTCTGCTGTGACCAGAATCCTTGTCTTGCTTTGGTCCTGGTCCTGGGCTTCTGTTCTACTTCTTCTTCTTTGGGGAATCTTGGTTTCGTTGCTTGAGTGCTGGATCCTGATCGCCACTGTTGGATATCCTGATCGCCACTGTTGGATATCCTGATCGCCACTGTTGGATCCCTGACTTCTGTGTTGTCTCTGGGAGTGTCGAAAAGACGATACGCACAGAAAGTTTATCTGGCGAGTATACCACACACAAAACTAACTCAACCCTACCGCTCACCTCTCTTAAATACGCTCTCAAAAGAGGTGCGCAGTATCACACTTTATCAGAGTTCATTCTTCTATACAACAGGATGCGGCAGCATTCTACTTCCATTCAGAATCGTAGTGGCTTACTGAATGCGATGTGGCCTATACAATGACTTGCGGTGGCCAGCCGATGTACAAGTCAGTGTTTTATCCCCCAGACGAATCTGGTACCAATTCATCGTCCCCGTAGGGTAGAAGGCTTGGTTGGTCCGAGCCGGAGTCAACCTAGGATCTGAAGGCAGGACCGCGCGGGTGGTAAGCGCGCCACTTGTCAAACGTTCAGCAATTGATATGCCAGCCTAGCTCTGGTCCCTCAATAAGGTGCTCTAATTAGCCACTGGAGTTTTCATTGTATTTCAAACATTTACTAGCTGATTGATTGGTTTGACGAACCTTGCCATAAGTACTGATAAGAAAGTCGTTGAAGGGCCGTGAGAAACCCGCATAAGACGGGCAAATTATGCTGAAGAGCAATGGCCAAAGAGTTGCTGAGAATAGGACGGTCATCACCGGATGATGTCGGACGAGATTGCAAGCAACAATGGAATAAAACCGGATTTGGACCATACGCCGCTGACGTTTATATGTGAACAATACATTTGTGAATTTTGTATTATTATTATTATGTAAATTGTGAATTATATTATTATTATTATTATATTATTATTATTATTATTA